AAATATTATAACTCGTAGAATAAATTCTTAAAAGACATGCTGATTTCTTATAAAGATAAAATTCATAGTCAGTGCCGTAAAGATAGTGATTAAGATAAAAAAAGTCATCCATTACACATTATATTACACATATTACATACCGAACAACAAACGAAAAGTCCATAAACAAATCCTAGAAAGAATATGACACTTATAACAAAGCTTGTAATGAATGCAGCATTAGCTATAGAAGCAAATTAACGATATTAGCATCTAGTAATATATATATATATAAGAACAAATAATACATACTATAGCCATTTCTTAGTGCTAATGTACAATGAAGAGTACTATATGCTGATACAATCTAAATAACATATGAAAAAACATTGTTAAATATAACCTATATATGAATAATTTCGACAAAATACATACTTGCCAGAGATAAAATCGTTAAAATAATAACACCAACTCTCAAAAGAATACAACAACAACATTTAGTAATTTTATCAACTAAGCTCATCTTGATTTTTAGACTCAAAAAAATATATCGATCAAAACAAGTTTTCTATTAAAAAGGTTGTCAATTTATATAAAAACGCCAAATTATTTCAAAGAATTTAACTGCTAAATTAAGTAAATAATACATAATACGTATATATGTATATTGAGAAATTCACGTACGTACGATTTAAGAAAGTCACAAGGATACCCAATACCGCAAATACGGATGAAACTTCCTACTTTTAGAAATTGGTGTAAAAAATTTATATGGTGAAAGCTTGTATGTATCCATTATCTGTCTTCATAAGTACATATTAAACTTAATGGATTTCCGACGGATTTTTACTACGTATTGGTATTAAATTCAGGCATTTCTGAAATCTGTGACAAGTTAGTCAATTACATGCCTGACTCTATCACGACGGCATAAAAATTGACCCCGATTATATGTATGACAAATCATTATGCCATTATGCCATTATAGCATTATTACTAATAAAAAAAAAGAAATTTTTTTAAATATTTTCTTTTCCAAAATCAATAATAAAATTTCAACACAACAGTCAACTAAATATAATTGAAAACGCATAGTCAACCGTAATCTTTAAACATCTACGCGAATTTCTTAATTATTTAAATTTGAAATATACAAAAGGTATGGAAGGCAGAACTACAACGAATATACAAAAACTTTCTTGGAACAATGACTCGTGTTAAGAGTAGCACACGAATCAGAGTTCAGGTGGGATTCAGTTGAAAGA